TATTTCAGTATTTTGAAATAGAATTTCATGTCCAGTTTGTTTTAGGGCATGTTCAGCTACTGCAGATTTTTCTGGTTGTTTCAGTCTGCAGTGTCTCTCATGTTCTTTGATTCTGGTGTGGAGGCTTCGTTTTGTTGTTCCAATATATACCTGGCCACAACTGCAAGGTATCCGGTATACTCCTGCAGTGGTGAAGATGCCGGCCACAGAAACTGGCAAAGCGTTAGGAAAAACAACCTCCAGAACATGGTCAAAGAGCCCGAAAAACCCACAACAACCAAAGTTGGTTTTACTCAGACAAACCTTTGTCCACTGGAGAGGAAGCACATTTTAATAGTGGTGGATATTAGTGGTGATATTTTGAGAGAGTTTTGGGGTTTTTTTTAAAGGCCTTGCTAGGACTACATCTGTTCAAGCTTCCTGTTCCTGCCCTAGTGCCTACTGGGAGCTTTCTTTATAAACAGGAAGCTAGGTGGAGTTAGGCCTAGCTCAGCCTCAAAGCCTTCCAGTTTAGGCCTTTCTCCAAGGTGAGTCACATGTAAGCATCTGGAGAAGTGCCTGTTTCCTAGAGAATGGGAATTTATGGGATTCGTGGTTCAGAAAAGAGAAATTTCTATTCCTAGTGAAGGCTGTTTGTTTTTTAAAGTCATTTTAATTCTTAATTACATAATTTTGTTTCAATGCACTAATTCATTTAACCTTGTAATTCATCGCTGTTGTTGGTGTTTGAAAGATCATACTTCTTTTTTAATCATGTTCTAAATTACCTTGGGATCTACAGAGAGGTGGGAGAGAAAGGTAGAAAGGCATGAGAGAAATAAAAATCAATAAATCTAGAATATTAACATTAACATTGCAATGCATGGGGGGAAAACTCTCCTTCTGTTGCATAAATATTTCTGAACATTATCTTTTGCAGCCCCAAGGAATCCTAGGGTTCATGCCCACTTCGTCCATGGCTTGAAGTGAATATGAAGCATTTCACTTTAACCTCAGAGGCACTTCAGCAATAAAAGACACATCCAGAATTTGAAATAAATGGCTTGAAACTGAATAGCTGACATGCACGTGTACATCCCTTGGATTTAATCAGTTAATAAAGTTATACCCTAACCTTCCTTATAAGACCTCAGGGCAGCTAACCATTTGCATCCTCACCAAGTTAAAAACCACAAATTATGAACATCTAAACCCACAAATCTAGAATCACAATCTACTGGTGTTGTCAGCTCCAGAAGAGCAGCGTTTCCTTCCCTGAAATTAGAGGGTCAAAAGCTGAAACCAAGGGCTGGGGCTCTGTGATGTCACAAAGATTGACATATGATTTCATAAAGGTAGGGCAGGCAGGAGCTGGGTGAAAGAGAGAACTTTTCCAGACATTTCATATCAAGATGAATGCAACAAGAAGTCTAAGGAGTTCCAATGCTGGTGCTTCACTCCCTGTCTTGCTTCACAGAACATGATGGGCCCATGATCAATGTACCAATTATCCAACAGCACCCACTGTGGAGATAGCGACTACATTTGGAGTGCCACAAATTTAAGTATCATCATTTGACATCAGTAAGCTACTCACATGCCAAAATCAAACATTCTCATTCTCTACTGCTTAGTCCCAAGAGATTTGTCTTCCCCCACGGAGACACAGAAAAGTATGAAAATTCCCACAGGACTCAGCAAGCACCCTGGGATTTGGTGGCTCTACAAATGACACATTTCTGCAGCCCCATATCTAGAATGACAAATTACAAAGGTTTGCTAAAGTGCAATGGTTTATGTCCTCTTACTTAAATGTGGAGCAGAATAGCAGTTGTGTAAACATCCTCTTGTTCCAGCTGGCTCTCTAACATGTACCTGTTCTCGCACTGGTCAAAAGATGGGTTGCCAAAGGAAGCCTGAGAAAGTGGGGGGAGCGGGATGCTTACAGAGTTGCCCTTCCATTCATTGGATAGGTGGACAGCAAAGCCAGGGCTCCCTGTGAGAGGGAGTTCCAGAGCCTGGGAGCAATGACAGAGAAGGTCCTCTCTTGTGTCCCCATGAATCGCTTCTGCAAGGGTGGTGGGATTGAGAGAAAGGCCTCTCCTGATTATCTTAAAACAGGAGGATGTTTGCACAACTGCTATTCTGCTCCACATTTAAGTAAGAGGACATAAACCATTGCACTTTAGCAAACCTTTGTAATTTGTCATTCTAGATATGGGGCTGCAGAAATGTGTCATTTGTAGAGCCACCAAATCCCAGGGTGCTTGCTGAGTCCTGTGGGAATTTTCATACTTTTCTGTGTCTCCGTGGGGGAAGACAAATCTCTTGGGACTAACTCCAACCTTTTTAACCCCGTGGACTGGCTGGGGAAAAGTGGGGGCCCCCTTGTGGTTGCGTGCATATGCGAAGGAATGTGCGCTCTCGTGCATGTGCATGGAGTGTGAGGGTGCTCATGCAGGTGCATGCGTTCATGTGCATGTGCAAATGGTGGTGCGGCACTCATATGGGTGTGAGGGTACTCATGCACATACACAAATGGCGGTGTGGGGCTTGTGCAGGCACTCGGGTGCATGCGCAAAAGGGTGGGGGAGTAGTTGCACGGGGCACTGGCATGCACGCACAAAGGGACTGTGCGGGGGGAGTGTGTGGGATGGGTGGGAGGTCTATCTCTGCGGCCCGGTCTGGCTCAGGTTGGGGACCTCTGCTTTAAATGACTGGTTAACCAAATGATTTTTTATTTTGTTTAATTTATCATTTTACTTGTGCCTTTAATATTGCTCTTATCATGAGATATAGTCCAATATCTGTTTAATGCTTTTTAAAAATATTGTAACAAGTTATTATTTGGTTTTTAACATTATTTCTTTCAAGACTGTAAGCTACTTGGATTCTTTAGGAGAAAGGGTGCATGTATATATTTTTAATAAATAAATATATTTAGGAAGGAAGGAAGAAAAGTTTATTTTTGAGACTTCAAGGAAGACCAACACCTCCAGAACATCAGTGTCGCTTGAACAAACACAGCTTTAACTCAAAAATGATTTTTGATTTTGCAGCTGGTAACTTTCCATTTATCAGTTTGCACTGGACTGTCCTATCTTTTGTTCCACTCCATTCCCATTTTATCACCCTTAAATTTAGTGCTTTTAAGAGACATCTGCCACATTAATACATCTATCAGGGGATAGGACCCACGGTTTGAAACAGAGCTCATCTTTAGCCATTCTCCTGATTCAACTGCCTACCAGAAACATCTATTTCTGGAAGCATCGTAGGTGAACCAACATGTTCACAATGTTCCGAAATAAAAGCTCCTCCCCTGTTATCACCCTTAAATTTAGTGCTTTTAAGAGACATCTGCCACATTAATACATCTATCAGGGGATAGGACCCACGGTTTGAAACAGAGCTCATCTTTAGCCATTCTCCTGATTCAACTGCCTACCAGAAACATCTATTTCTGGAAGCATCGTAGGTGAACCAACATGTTCACAATGTTCCGAAATAAAAGCTCCTCCCCTGTGTTTGTATGATTTCGGAATGCCCCGCCATAAAAGCTATCCAGCTGAAGGATCAGTACCTTTTGTCACTATCACTGTGTGCCCACCACTAATTTCCATGGTGTACCCAAGTGTGTTTCAAGTCTCTACAAATGTCTTTGTGCCCATGGGACAAAAATAAAAATAAACCAAAGCAAATGATAAATCAAGCAGACAAGCCTGGCTTTCTTCCATGTCTGCTCTACAAGGATGACAGGATCTCCCCGCTAATTCTAATTTTATCAGAGTCCAATGATAGCCAGATGTTTGCTGACCAATATCTCATATCCATGATTGGGACCCTGGGCTTGTAAGTGGTTCTAACAGCCATTTGACTTTCTACCTTGAGTTGCCCACCCAATGGCCATGAAGGCTTTTGGGCTTCTCATTTCTCTTCTGTTGTGGATGCTCTTGGTTTCCGCAGGTAAGGAACACAGAGAGGGAAGTTTCTCTCTTTTGCCAGATGGGTTTATATTTGTCACATGGGCAATGAGAGCTCTCCTGCTCTATTTGGCTGTGCGGTAGAGATGGGAATGAACTGGGAAACCAGTGATTTATGATGGTTTTATTTCTTTGTTCGTTTGTTTTATTTATAAGTCTCCTTTCTCTGATAAAAGGATCCAAAGCAGCTCAAAATATTAAAAGGAATAGAGTTAAAAACATATTAATACATTAAAATATAATTAATCTACATGCTAACTGAAATACAATTGAATAATTAAAAGTAAGTAGACATTAAAAACTATCTTAATCCCAAGAAGGTATTCAGGGATTCAATTACAATTGTTAAAAGCTTACCTGAAAAAGGTGGGTCTTCAGCTAATGGCGGAAGGATAAAAGGGAGTGGGCCATCCTGATGTCCCAAGGGAGAGCATCTCATAACCTAGGAGCTGCCACAGAGAAGGACCTCCCTCGTGTACAGTGCCTGTGCTGCCTCTGGGCACCGGGGACAGGAGACAACCATCAACAGTGCCTGTGCTGCCTCTGGGCCCCGGGGACAGGAGACAAGAGGCCAGTGGGTCCAGCTTTCTATGCCCTGAAAGCCCAAAGCTGAGAGCGGGTGGAGAACAGTGTTCGGCTTTTCCCGCCTCCCCTCACTCTCAGCTTTGGAAGCCGAAAGCTGCCCGGCACCCGCTGTCAGCTTTGGGCTTTTGGGGCTTAGACCTGCAGCCTACTGACTGGAAGTGGGGGGTGGGTAAAGTGCAAAATTTGCATTTGGCGCTTTCCCCACCTCTCCCTTCTGGTCCGTAGGTCGATTCTCCGACCGCAAGTCGAAGTGAAACTTTGTGGCCGGAGAAGTCTGTAAGTTGAAAAGTTCGTAAGTGGAGCTGAACATAAGTCAAGACTCTACTGTATTCAATTTCACCTCTTTTTTTTGGGACAAGACCGCTCCCACTCCACGATCAGATGCATCTGTTTGCACCAAGAAAGGTAATCTGAAATCAGGAGCATAATGACTAGGAAGTTGAGACAGAATATCTTTCAAAGTGTGAAATGTGTGTTCCAACCATACATCATCTCAAATGGGGAAAATCCAGTTGAAGGTACCTCACAAATAGCGAACATTAGCGGGGCTACCAGGAAGTGTCAACTCCTAGGCTTCTTCATCACCAACTTCCTAAGCATTCCCTTGAGTGTTTTGTTGAACCTCTCCACAGGGCCGTTGGCCTGAGGATGATAAACTGCAGTATGAATAGGAGTCACCTCTAGGAGGTGCCACATTTCCTTAAAAGTCTGGCTCATGAAGTTTGTCCCCTGATCGGTCAAGATCTCTTTGGGAAAACCCAGCCTAGAGAAAACGTGCATCAACTCTAGCTAATGCCTTAGCAGTTGTCGACCTAAGCAGTATAGCTTCCGGATACCGCATTGCATAATCTATAATTACCAGTATGTGGATATGTCCACCCGCCGAGCGCATCAAGGTCCCTACAATGTCTAGGCCAATTCTCTGGAAAGGATGGTCCATTAATGGCATAGGGATCAACTCCGCCCCAGGGTACGGCTTCCCTTGCGTTTTCTGGCATTGAGGACACGTGCTGCAATACTCTGCTATGTCCTTCTCCCACCCCAGCCACCAGAACCTCTGCCTCATGCACACTTTCATTTTCACTTCTGCTAAATGGCCAGCCATGGGAATATCATGAGCAAGCTCTAAGATCTTTCGCCTCCACTTTTGTGGTACTGCCAGCTTTCGTTCTCCTTCCCTTTCCACCCAATACAGAAGCCCGTCACACAATTCCAACCTTTCTTGGCCCCTTACTATGGTTCCCACGCGACTCGCTGCTTGTAGGTGTTCTTGCAGCAAGGGGTCATCCTGCTGCCACACCCGCACGTTCTTCCACGATGCATCCTACAAAAAATCCATCCTGTCCTCAGTCCTACTGCATTCACTTTGCAGTCCCTCTCTAAGAGTGCCCACCCAGTCTCGGCCCAACAACATTTCCCTTGACAAGCCCGGTACCACCCCAATGTTCATCCATTGTTCATCCTTCCC